TAATTACATTGAACCTTATGGGAAAATTTGCTTCGGGTTGCGAACAAATCGGGTTGCAACCAGAGTCATGGAACGGATTAAATTCGTAACCCAAGGTACCACTGTATTTAGGTTTGGGGGGGCCTTAAAGATGTAGTTGTTTCACAAATTACAGTTAATATGCTATGTTAAACTGTGGTAGATCTAAGGGGCATAATAAGAATGGAACTAATTTGAACAAATAGAATTGGAATGGAATTATACTTTGTTTCTTCACTAATTAGGAAGTTTCCTGATATACACATAAAAGGAAGCTATTAGTATTTACTTAAGACAATAGACGATCCAAACTATACTGAGAAATGAAAGAGCGTGCTTCAGTATCTATACAGTAGGACCTAGATCAGGCAGACAGTAGTTCAAGTTCCAATTCTGCCAAGGAGCTACAATACAGCCTTAGGAAAATTACACTAAATACTTAATCTGTTAAATGGAAATAGCTGTTTTGTCAACTGCTAATTACAATTGGACTGTAAAGCACTTGCTAGTTTTAAAATCCTAAATCATGATAAATTCTAGATATGTCTGAAATGAATGTTTGAGGTCTTTTTTTCTGTAACAGATATTTCACTGCTGTCTCTCTTCTTTCAGTGGTGGCACTCCTAGTACCCGAATAACACCGGAATTCTCTAAATGGGCAAGTGATGGTGAGTATAAGATGTAGTAGGTCTCCCTGTTGGCCTAGTAGGTGCTTAGAGACTGAAAATGGATATTTTAGGGTGCAATGTTTTGTGTCATGTATATGACAATATTCAGTTTTCCTTTGTATATAATTACATGCACTACTTTGGACATGGTGATAAATGCAGTAGAACAAACAAACCTTAAGTAAACATGGAGTCAGCTTGAAGGGATAGTATCACTGATATTCTGCCTTTCTGTTTAGTGCTAGAGCAACATGCAAATTAAGATTAACATTAGAGTATAATTGTTTGGGTCACAACCCCAATTGATTGATTGATTGATTGATTGGATGACAATTGGGGGAATTTATTCATGGTTGTCAGGATGCTGCTTGAGATTGGTCTACAGTGCATCCTAAGCCAGTTTTCGCATTTTATTTTCTGCAGAGAAGCTTCTTGATATATGTGCCTGAGGTGCTTGACGGTTTAACAGTATGTTCTAATGTTCCCACCATGTTCTTGCTCAGTGCACTCTGCCTACAGAATTGGAATGGGTGGTCACTCATGATAAGGAATCTTTAGTTATAGCACTTTGATTTTACCTCTTGAAGAGTCTTTACTTAGCTCTAAGTCTAATTATAAATTCAGCATCAGATAAAGATCTTTGAATATGCTAAGGTCACTCAGTTTTGACCTATTGAATGCATTTTTTAAATTTTGGCTGGTCATCCTGCTTTTGTTTTACTTCCCTTTTTAAATGCATCTTTTTGTAAATTCTGTTAGCTGCTCAGGAGTGATTGTTCTTCTGAAGAGCAGGTTACAGTTTTTAACACAATTTTTTCAGACATAAAATATGCCTATTTAGTTGCATAAATTATGGAACCCAAAACAATGCTAATTTTTATTCTTGTAAGTTTGAACCAAATCATGTTTGAATGGAGAAAGTTTGAATGGGGAAAGTAATAATCCAAATACAATTCTCTTTCTCTGATATTGGCTTTCCAGGTGCATGATGTATAATCACTCTGGATTTATAATTTGTATATATCTGGGAAAAAAAGATAGCATGAAAGTAATGGTGATAATTTTCTTTATTTCATTTTCTTTATTTATTTTTAGAACTATTCCAGTCAGGGTGTACTGATGGAAAAACATGTTCCATACTAAATTGTTTTTAAAATAGAATAAGAGTAATTAAGTCTGTAATCTCCAGGTATTTTTCAGTTCCCTTCAACAGCAGCCATTATGGTTAATAGCAAAGGATGATAGTCCAAAGCTTCTGGAGGTTACCTGCTTCTGGAATTCAGGAGATTTTAAAATTAGCACTCAGTTTCATCATTACTGATTGTGTGATTAGCATTCTTGCTTTTTTTTACAAGCTGGGTTTAAATTAAAAAAAAACCTTTTATTCATGCTGTGGTTTGAAGTTTATCTGAATAAACATTCTTCATTGATTGAGCTTTTCCTTCTCTTTATAGAAATGCCATCAACAAGTAATGGGGAGAGTAGTAAACAAGAGCCTGTGCAAAAGACTTGCAAGAATAGTGACATAGAGAAGTAAGTATGAATCATGTACTTACATATTTGCTAAAGATGATAAAAGGTACAACATTACAGAACATGGCTTGCAGGTTATGGCTATCCAAAACTCAGGCATGCATTTCTCAAGTGAAATTACATAGCCTTTAAAGCTGACATTCTCCTAGCTGAAAATCAAATGGTTTCTTCCATATCTTTTTGTTTTTCAGCCTTTATAGGAATTCCATATCTGTAGAAATATAAAATCCATTTTGGTATATTGGCTCTAAAAGATGATTTTATGTTTCATTTCTAGATCCTCAGTGTCGTTTCTGAGGCTTTAGAGGGATGATAGCAAATCTTATCCTTGTGTTAAATTCTCTATAGTATCAAAATGCTGCCCTTTTCTTTCCCCCTGGGATGTGTTATTTTTCAAAAGACTTACTTGTTATGCCCTTTCTCTAGAATAGAATTAGATTATTTTAACCTTCATTTCCACTGGGAATGAGTAACATGAGACAGATCATTTTGCTCCAAAAAGATGGTGACAAACCAGAAAAAGGGGTTCAGAGCAATGCATAATACTGTCCTATCTTCTTATAGTCAGGCAGGGCTACGTGCAGTGATATTTAAGCTCATTTCTGTATGTTCTACCTATTAGGTAGATTGTGTTGAAATCTACAGCATAGAAATGCTTTAAAGACTGTATTGCTCAGTAAGTAATCGAGAATAATGCAGGTGCAAGTGGCATTTTTAGCTGTGCATACTATGTAAGATGTGACCAAGTTCACACAGATAAGCTATTTTTAAAAACATATCCCTCTCAAGGAAGAAAAAGAAGGAAAATATAACCGGAAATGTATGTAAATTCCTTTGAGGCTGTATCATGCACTAATACATTGTTAGTAGTGATGATATGTGTTATTTGGATAGTTCTTAAGAATTGGGAAGATTACCACGGGGTAATCTGGTATATATGTACTTATTTTAATCATGGAAATGCACATTGGAGTGCCTTTGCAGGAACACAGCATTGTCTAGCAAGCTGGTAATACTGCTTTCTGTGTTGGGCAAGTATGCACAGTCTTCTTCAGTTTGAGCACTGAATTGAACTTTGAGTGATGTGTGAGGGCCACACTCCAAATCAAGGGGATGTAGTTAATGTTAATATATTTAATAATTTCCTCTGTAGAATAAATTGTTCTTCCATCTTTTTCCATCATTCCTACCTATAAAATAAACTGATTATTTTATTCTAATAAGAGCATTCTAATTCTGATGTTCTTCCCATGCAAAATATACTGTTTTTTATTTACACCTTACGTATTATGACCAGAAAGGGGGAATATAAATCTGATTGATTCATTGTAGCTGTTTCAGTGCCAGAGATAACCCCAGCAGCAGAACTTGTGACCATTCTCTGGTGGACTGACTAACTACAGAGTAAGGATTTTCAGTTAGAAAACAAGAAATCACAAAAACAGAAACAGTTGAAAGAAGCCATGAGAAGGCTGAAGCAGAAAGAAGAATGGAGGGGAATAAACACAAAACAAACTTAAGAGATGACATGGAAGTCAGGAAAGAAGATATTGGGGAAAGTCAGGTAATTGTAGCTAAAGTGCTAAAACAGAGTGGTGTGGCTTGTGGCAGATTTTACTAAAAGCTGCTACTTTATCAGGTGACAAGAAAAGAGGAGTGGTCCACATTGAAAACAGCTGGAGCACACACACCCCTTTCGCTTGCCTTGCCTTCCCTTCCCTTCCCTTCCCTTGGAGGCAACTTGTAGATGTAGAGATGTAGATGTAGAGAAATTGATAACACTTGCTAGAGCCAGTTCTTATCTTGTGAGCTATGCAGGATTTTGGCTTAGTTGGTATTCTACACCTGTACAAGTTCTTGGTAGCAGCTTCTGTAAACAATTGGGGAGGGCAGAGGGAATTTTTATTGTTCCACAGTTTAAGTATTTGCCTTTAAGTATCAAAGGGAGAAAGAACATTCTTATGAATTACTGCCACAATGCACCTTTTCAGTTGTGCCAACTTTGTGTATCTCTTTCTCTATGCTCTTCACTGCAAGGAAGAGCAGGAAGTGAAAATGACTTGTTATTTACCCCCACATTTCAGGTTCACATTAGCTAAAACCTCAGGGACGCTCAGATCTGGGCAGCATGCACTGCTGCTTTTTAGGAGCAAATGGGGTTTAGGGGTCACAGAACAGCATTTGAGGAGGGTACACTTGATCAGTTTATGAACCTCTGATGGAACCAATGGAATTCAGTCTTGTCCAGCAGTCTGTCAGTTTCATTGGTTAGAAATTCTCCATAGTTGTCAGTCTTCTCAAATCTTAGCCTTTAAAACTGAAAAACGCTTGTCCAAATGATGAATTGGTAGCATCACCTTGATCACATTATCTAAATGCTTCATTCAGTGCTGCCTGGAGGATCTTAAACTAAGTGATACATACAATAATTCTGTCCTGTGAAATATAGGCCAGGTCCTTCTTTGTGACAAATCCTGATCTATCACGGAACATTCAAAAACCTTTGACTTTCGAAGACAAAAATTAAACTTGGACAGTCAACCTCTGTAACCTTTCAGAAAAAGTAAGAGCCAATTACCATTTCTTGCACTTGACAGCACTTCCTTCATAAGAAATCCCTTCTGGAAATAGGTTGCTGCCATTAGTTAGAGGCTCTTAACTCCATTGGGAGCATAAAACAGTAGTTAGAAGCAAAGATTCCAGCTGTTTTATCGTACTTTATCCAGAATTTGTGTGTGATAAATTGTTGCTGCTGTGATAGTTAAGCAGCTAGAATGCTGTGTGTGAAGAGGTGGGTTCTGTTAACTTAATTGATAACCAGTATCAGACCTTGGGGCCTGACAAAAATGTGGGTTTTTTTATTCCTACTGTCTAGCTGCTTCCACCTGCACTGCCAAGCCATGATATATAGTGATCCAACCCAGCTAGCTAAATTGATTCATCTCTAGTTCCTGGCTCTTAATCTGGAGCTAAATTGGTTTCATTTTTCTTGTTTTGGATGGTGCTCGTGGCGGGCTCTCTATGGGAACACTTCCTTCTGTTCATAACTTTAATTTTTGCTTTTAAATCTGGACATTATTGATTACTGTGTTAAGCTCCATATAATGTCTGATTAGCATTTTAAAAAGTGTTTAGAAGCACATGGTTTATCACTTGTGTCAGCTGGGCTGCCCACTTAGAACAATGGTTAATGGAGTTAGCAGTGATTCTCTTTATTGATTCTACTTTTATAAGAATGACATTCATTTTCTCTCCTCTTTCCAAAACAAAGTCTTGGTATGGGGAGTATCTTTTTAATTAGCTAATACAATACAGTAAACTGCCCTTCCTTTGGTGCAAAGCTAATGTACTTGGGTTGAAAGTTAATGGAATATGTGCTGCAGGCTTCTTGGAGCTAAATCTCTTGCATGTCAAACAACTTGCCTCAGTAAAAGATGAATTTGCTGGTTGTTCCCTTGTGTATAATCTTGGATCTGCTTTTTGTTTAACTAGCTTCCATTTCAATCCAACTTCCTCAGTTGCTGCTTGAATTTGGTATAATAGCTGTCATCGGCCCAAGAACTGGGATATTCTGATAGGACAGATTTAAAAAAGGTTTTCTCTTAAATTTTTTTTATTGTATAAATTATTCGTTCACTTTTAAATCTATTACTTTTAGATTTCTTTTTTTAGAAGAAATTTACTAAAATTGAATGATGATGATTACTAGAAAATAATACGTAGAATTGTCAGTTGAGACAAGGCCTGTCAGGATTTTTTTAATATGATTTTTATTAAGAATTTTGATTACAGTAGTAAAAATTAATATAAATTAAACTTAGAGAAAGAGAAGAAAATAGAAAAAAAGAAAGTGAAGGAGAAAAGAAAAGAAGAAAAGGAAAAGAATATAATAAAAAGAAAAATAAAGAAGTGACTTCCAACCTTCATCACAAGTAGGAACAAATTTAGTAACTCTTCAACCCCATAAGGTTACAAAATATCTCTTCATTCCATATCCAATCCCTTATCTATAAGCAAATCCATAAAACATAAATCCTGGTGTCAGCAAAAAGTCCATAAAGGATTGCCAGAACTTTCTCCCCACCAAAAAATTTTAACCTTGATCAAATAAACCAACTTTATATTCCTTTGTTTTACATCTAACAGTCTTAATCTTTAATTCAATCAAATATTGTCATAGGATTTGAATTCTCTTCCATTTTTCTTTATCCCATCGCCCAGATTTCTTCAAGGCTTTAAAAAGGCTCTTTGTAGATCCAATAAGAAAACATTTTCCAGGTCATTCTCTTGGTTTATCATTTGTATTTCCCTTTTAATTTTTAAAACTTCAGCCAGTTTCTTTCATATGTCATTCTCTTGGTTTATCATTTGTATTTCCCTTTTAATTTTTAAAACTTCAGCCAGTTTCTTTCATATGTCATTCTCTTGGTTTATCATTTGTATTTCCCTTTTAATTTTTAAAACTTCAGCCAGTTTCTTTCATATATCCAGTAAAGCGTCCTTTTCCAAATCATTCTCTTGGCCTGTCATTTGTAGTTCCACTTTCAGTACATTCTCCATCTTGGAGAAAATTTATTCCACATCTGTCATTCCTTCATTAATATCTTTTGGATATAGTCTATCCATAGAAGCAGACATCATTACTGACAACGTAGATATTGTAGTTACTAATTTCTTCATTCTTCAAAGATCTCCTTTAATGTTTCTGACGTTATGACGTTTTGTGTCATTTTGTAAGGCCCAGTATTAACTGACATCAAGAACAGGCTTGTATTTTTTTTCCTTCTATACTTAGAATTTTTAGTCCCCTCTTGTGTCCAGTTTTTAAAATCATAAAGTAACTTATTTTTGTTACGGCTTACAGTAGCCAGGATAGCCAAAATAAGTCTGTTTCCCACAAGAAGCTATTTATTTTTTATAGTTAATTCCAAAATTTTATAATAAAAGTCAATATTCCAAATTTATCTGGCCCCTTAATCCATTAATACTTTCTTAGATCA